CCATGGAGGTCCTGTTTTTTTTTTTTTTTTTTTTTTTTTTTAAAGCAGTGCTCTCCTGTAGCTGTAGCCAAGAGGACTATCTCAGGAACAGTGCTCTCTAAGGTTTTGGTGTACTTGTGTCATTCCCAGTTTGCACGAGACGCGATTTTGACACCCGTTTCCATCTTCCTGCTCCTTACAGGCGTCTTGAAGTTTGTGGAAATCACGGTCAACGTCCTGGTGCTGATTTGCGTGGGCGCTGCCCAAGCCTCCGTCGCAGGCTTCACCTCCCTCGGCGGCTTCGGCACCGGATCCTTTAGCCTGAATTCAGCCTATATCCCCTTCGAGGGCACGGAGCTCCAGCAGGTGCGGGAGCTAGACATGCAGTTCACCCAGATGAGAGCCCCTTGCGTGTACGGCGGCGTGGCCTTCAGCATCACGGCGGCGGCGCTCACCCTTGTCTTCCTCGTGGTGGGGGCAAAACCCATCCAGCAGCTCAGGATGGGACTGCTGGTGGGCGAGTGTGCCTTCAACCTGCTGGCCGGCACGGCGTACGTCGCGGCGGTCGGCCTCTACCTGCACTTCGTCAGCCGGGTGAACGCCACCGACGTGTGCAAGAGGCGCGAGAGGCTGTACGCGCGCCGCGGCTACACCTCCGTGAACTGCGCCGTCCAGGGCGGCGACGCCGCCGTCGGCCTTTTTGGCGTCGCTGCCGCCTGTCTGTACTTTGCCAGCTTCGTGGTCTGCGTCTTCGCTATCCGAACCGTCCGGAGCCGCGCGGCCAAGGCTCAGCACAGCTCCGAAAGCAGCGTTGGAGACAGAAGCGTCGGAAACCATCGCGCTCTTCACAGGAGTTCGGAAACCTCCCGCCATGTCCAGGCTCTTGCCACCTTAGTGTGAATTCAGCTCTGGGGCTGTGCCAGAGAGCTGGAGCTTCAGCGAGGGGCGGACACTGGGCAGCACGTGCTAAACTGGCGACCCGTCCACAACGTAGTGCCCTACGAGGTGCGGACGTGTGTATCACATCACCAAATGTAACACCACTGCTATAACGTGATGTAATAAAATTGGCGTTGAGCAGATGTTTTAACAAGGTTCTTTTTGCATCCCTCTCTCAAGCTGCACTCCTGCATTTAAAACATATTGGATGGGAATGTTTTCATCCTGCACAAAGCAAATCCAAACAGCAACGAGCTGTTAACAGGTTGCAACCGCAGCGCTGCCAAACTTGTGCTAACAACCACTTCCTTTCCTCTCCCATGACATAAGGAATTGGATGCACAGCTAGGATGGGCAGCCTTCAGCAGCTCCTGGTGCCTGTCCATGCATCCTATTGCCCTACCCCACACCGCTCACAAAGCAAAGGACACTCGAGTGTTTTTCTGCAGGCAAAGCTACACTCGTGACCTATTTCACTTGGGCTAATGAAGCGTTTTATCTCTTGAGTCACGGGGTTGACACACGCCCATCATGTGCTCCCTGAGGAATGCTGCTGGGAGGAACTAGCTGCGATTTCAAAGGCAGCGTTTGGGTCCTCCTCCAGTCCCCTGATACGTTTTCCCCATCTGACTGGGTGCAGATCAGAACCTGAGAGGCAGCACGTTCATCAGCTATAATAAAGATACCGCTTGCTTCTGTAACCACCTAAAGGAGGTTTGGCTTGCTGACTCCACAGCTGCTGGTGGGCAGAGCCTGAGTTGGGAACACACTGGCTGCCCTGGAGTTTTCCATGGCAATGCTGTAACAATGACAGAAAGTACATACGTCCTTCCAATATCTAAATGCACGAAAGCATGAGTGAACAGCAAAAATGCCCCCAGGGTTGAGAAAATAAATTGAAGAAACATCTTGCAAAAGTCCTTTGTTTGAGGCAGATGAAATAGATCACTGGTCTTCACAGATGAGGGAGTGAGAAAAAAAAAAAAGACTCTTCTTGAAGTACATAAGATTTGTCAGCTTGAGAGGAGGGAAGAAGTGATTTTTAATCCTGGCTGTGCACTTTCTTTTCAGTTTTGTCTGGCTTGGAATCATTGCCCATGAGGCTCTTTGGAATCATAGCAGAGCTTACTTATTGTATACTTCATATATACACATAGATCTCAAAGGATTATGTTTGAGGCAATATGAGCCAAACAAGAAAATGTTATGGTTCTGATTAGAAGTGATTACATGAGCCTTTACAATAAGTATTTATTATTTATTTAATGCCTTAACCATCTTTTTAACACTTTGAGCATCAACAATCTTCTTACCTGATTATGAGGAGACACGGGCGAAGAGTTTTTCCAACCCTGTCACTAGTCATGAAACTAAGACTTTGGTTTCTAGCTCTTTGCCCAAAACCAGACCTTCACTGGTACGCTGTGACCAGCTGGAAAGCCTTTTACAGGGATGTCTGGCACGCTGCTAAAGCTGCAGCTAACCACTTGTTAGGCATTGCTGCCTGCCTGCTTGTTCCTGCACTACCTCTACACCTTGCACATTTTGAACGCAGGCTTAGTTACGTGATGACACACTGTTATTAACTCATACGAACAACGAAAAGCAGCACCTCGAAGTGACACATTCAAAAGACTAGAAGAGGCTGCAAGATAACTTGTAATTCAGTCCTTAAATAGGTGTGAAATACGAATTTTAATCTCAGGGCTTCTTACTCTGCCCATTCAGTTCGGAATGCTTGCGGGCCGTCACTGTGCAGCAGCAACAGTCCTCTGTGAGCATCGATTCTGTCTCTTTTTCCCTTGTGTGTGTGGTTAACAGCCTCATTTGTTGCAAGGCAACACCACCTTTTTCTTCAGAAAAAGGTGTGCAGTTTCCCTGTGGACTACTGCTGTAGTGTTCCTCCCTTGGACACTCGTGTTCCCCACGGTCAATCCATTTTGGGTCCCTTTCCTGTTAACAGGACCCATGTTACACGTTTTATGGGGATAGTCAAAAAGCAGCTGCCAGTTACAGGTGCTCGGCTGGGGACTCCTGGAACACGTCACGTTCTCTCGGCTCCTCACCTGGCTCCCTCTCTGCACTCACCATCCTCTTGTGTTTCTAACCTCCACAGCCTCAAGTTTATTCCTTATGTCTAATCTAGACCTACCCTCTTTTAGTTTAAAGCTGTCACCCCTTGTCCTGTCACTGCAGGCTCCAGTAATAAGTCTCTCTCCATATTTCTAATAAGCCCCCTTTAAGTGTTGAAAGGCCACAATAAGGTCTTTCTGGAGCCTTCTCTTCCCCAGGCTGAACAACTCCAACTCTCTCAGCCTTTCTTCATAGGAGAGGTGCTCCAGCCCTTGGATAATTTTTGTGGCCCTCCTCTGGACCCGCTCCAGCAGCTCCATGTCCTTCTTGTGTTGGGAACTCCAGAGCTGAACGCAATATTCCAGGTGGGGTCTCAGGAGAGCAGAGCAGAGGGGCAGAATCCCCTCCCTCGACCTGCTGCCCATGCTGCTTTGGATGCAGCCCAGGGTACTGTTGGATTTTTGGGCTGCCAGCGCACATTGCTGGCTCATGTGGAGCTTCTCATCAACCAGTGCCCCCAAGTCCTCCTCCACAGGGCTGCTTCTCAATTCATACATCATCTGGTCTGTACTGATACTGGTGATTGCCCCAACCCATGTGCAGGACCTTGCACTTGGCCTTGATGGAACTTCATAAGGTTCACATTAGCCCATTTCTCAAGCCTTGAGATGGTGACAGTCTGGATGACATGCCTTCCCTCAAGCATACCAACTGCACCACTCAGCTAAGTGTCATCTGCAAACCTGCTGAGGTCCTGAAGCACTGCAAGAAGAGGGACCACAAAGAAAGCCAAAGCCCAGTGATTGCCAGCTTCTTGAATGCTTTGTGCCTCATATTTGTTTCCTTTCTTGCCACTGTGAAGATCACTGGGAAATAACTGCAAAGAGAAAATAAACATCAGTGCTGTTTCCTTCACTCACCTACATGGATGCAAGTGTAGGACAAGAGAAGGGAAAATCCCAGAAATATTCCTCAGAAGGCTGAGGCAGGAAAGAAGTTTTCCTTCCCCTCAGGGTGAAGGGTGAGCCATATACAATCAGAGCAATCCAAACAACCCTCCTCCCCATCCATAACAAGGTCATGCTTGGTAGCCTGTAGCTGACTTGAAAATCTTCACCATGCAAGCTGGGAAGGTGTAAGGGAAGAGCAGAGATTTTCTGGCACGCACAGATGACTAAGGCTGCAACAGGCTGTCGTCCCCAGCTGCCACTGCAGGCGGTCCTACCCTCCAGGGCAGATGAGCCTTCCCACCTTCTGCTGCAGATGGCCGTGTCCCACCATTACCAGTTAGTACGGGACAATCATCTGCCTTCGGACCAGTAAACAAACGCGGGTCAAATGGCTCCTGTCAGCCCTATCATTCTTCTTTGCCTTTCCCTGCTGCCTGCCCCGTGCACCTGTGTGCAACCTTCAGGGTCAGCACTGAAAATAAACCCACTCGTTTCTCTTTGCTGCTCCCAAGCAGCCCCTGGCAGCCCGGTTTTAACCCCAAAGGACCGCGCACAGTCATCGCCCGCAGTCCCTCTTCGGTGTGAGGGATCCTTGGAGTGGATATATCCAGCTTGGCTGCTGTGACCACCGTCAGCTTATCGCCTGCTGCGAGGGAAACTGTGATAACCAAGGTCAAATCCATGCTTCCCCGAGAGGTTGTCTTGTGGGCAGACAGCATGGCCTCTTACAGCCTAAAAGCCTTGGGGACCCCATCGCTGGTGCGGTAGGGAAGCAGCCTTCTGGCATGCCAGGCTTGTTCTAAACCTTCAAAAAGAGGAATAAAATGGCCACCATCCCGCTCCCTGGAGATGCTAAGGAATGGATGAAGGTAGCAGGGTGAACTGGAGCTGCCTGACAGGAGAAAAGCCCCACCACAGATGAGGGGTCACCGGGGCAAGGTGCTGGGATGAGTTGAGTCGCTCGTTTATCTCAGAGTTACCTGTGGGACTGCCAGCCAGCTCCCTATGGATCTGAACCATCAATTTGCACCTGTCTCCTTCCACACAGGAGCAAACAGCTTGAGTCGGAGAGCAAAAACTCCAGCTGAGCTCACCAGCCATTCACCATCCACAAAGGGAGCCTCTCCCCACAGAAAATCCTCGGAGAAAAACAATCATCTCTCTGACAAAATGTCTTTTCGTGCTCTAATTCTGAGAAGGAAACAAAGGGCATAAGATATTTAGGATGACTATATTTAAAAAAAAAAAAAGATAAAGGAGAGAGGGAGAAGAAAAAACACCCCCACCCCCCTAATTCTGCATCCCACCACTGAGTAAGCTACCATGAGTTTTTCCTCATGGTGGAGTGTATCTTTGAGCACTCAGTTTCCTGAATGTCTCCTTTATTCAAATAATAGTTCATAAAAGTAGTTCAGTTTGGGGAAATCTATTCCAGAACAGAGAAAATCAGTACCCAAAGACACAGGTGTCCTTTTTTTTCAACATAAAAGGCAAAATGTGGCGAGGATGGTGCTGGAGAGGAGAGAGGATATTTACTTCTCCAAACAGGCTTAACGTAACCTTTAAATTTACCAAATAATTCAGTTATCTGGAACTGTAAATCTGGCACTGCTGGAAGACCTGCATGTGTTAGGGCATTGCTCTCCTGCTGCTGACCAGCTGTAAGGAGGAGGGACCTTTGTATCCATCTGTAAAAAAGAAATTTTCAGGTAAGCACAAACAAGCAACTTGCTTATTTTCTTGATGAGTTTAAGTAACCATTCCCAGAATATATGTAATCGATCGTGATTCAAGCTTTTTCCCTTAGTTCTTCAGCACGGATCAAGTGTATCTGATGTGAGAAGCAACAGCAGAAACTGAACTCAAGGCTTAGTGTTAAGAAAAGCTGGGATCTCAGTTTACATGAGAAACTGCTTTAAAGTGATGAGAATACCTACA